CTTCTCCTCCTCCTCCTCCTCCTTCCTCTCCTCCTTCTCCTCCTCTTCCTCCTTCTTCCTTCCCCTCCTCCTTCCCCTCCTCCTTCCCCTCCTCCTCCTCCTCCTCCTCCTCCTTTTGCTCCTCCTCCTTCTCCTTCTTCTTCTCCTCCTCCTCCTCTTCCTCCTCCTCCTCTTCCTCCTTCTCTTCCTCCTCCACCTCCTCCTCCTCTGTAACATCTTGTTTGACCATCATGGTGCATTTCCATCCTTTTTTATTGACCCAGCGGAAAAAACTATCTACAGTATGTGGTCAATAATAGTAGATATCAATTTGATGGCACATAATCAATCGATCAATTGAAACGAACACATAAGTGTAACCTTCTGAGATAGAATTTGGGATCCTGTGGCTATCCATATGGTGTAGAGCCCTGAAAATACCAAATAACGGTGGTTTCTGTGGGTTTAAAGAGGAATCACCCTATCCAGCAGGTTAACTGAGATTTGGCGAGCTCACCTTTATTGGAAATTTTCTAGATGGCGATAAACGTCTCCTTCCCCAGATCTCTGCTTTACTTGAAGCCCTTCCCAATTTTAGGATTATCATGGCAGTCCTTGTTTTTCTTTTATCTTTATTTTCCAGCTTTTCTCTCTTTCTAAAATATATTTTCTTGGTCGAACAGAAGGAGCTGCTACGGTCGTGTTACCCTTTATCCTTTGTCTTTTGGACACCCCTCACCTATTCATTTGGGGGAAGGGGGGGGCTTTCTATATCTTATTTCCATTAGTTCTTTGTAGGAAAAAAAAATCCAGAGAGGACATTCTTAACAGCCGTCCCCCATTTTCTCTTTTAGCTGAACCAGAGGAGGAAGTTGAGGAGAAACAGCCGACCTTGGGAGAACTCTCCATCTCTGAAACCACCAGCAATTCTCTTCTCCTTTCCTGGAGTGTCCCAACGGGGAGCTTTGACTCCTTCCTGATTCAATATGAAGATGGAGCTCTGCAGAGCTTGCCTGTGGATGCGGCTTCCCGTGAAAAGATGGTCTCCAACCTGGCTCCATCTCACAGTTACCAGTTTGACCTCTACGGCATCTCTGGTGCCAAACGCCTGGGCCCCATTTCCGCCAAGGCCTTAACAGGTCAGTACAAGCCATTCGCCCTCCTCCCTGGCTTAAGGGAAAGCGTGAATCTTTTTTGTAAAGCTGTGTGTTCCCAACTTTGGCAATGCCAGCATTTTAAATGGGTTGAGGAATTCCGGGAGTTGAATTTCACACATCGTAAAGCTGCCGAGGTTGGGAAACACTGGTAAGGTGTCACTCTTGCAGTAGTTGAGACAAAGACTTAAATGATCTAGCCACATAATACTGAATTCCATCATTTAATTGTGGGGGACTTCAATTCTATAAAGCCTGAGTAAGACCACACCCAGAGTACTGCATCCGGTTTTGGTCACCATGCCATAAAAAAGAAGCTGAGACTCTAGAAAAAGAGTGCAGGGAAGAGCAACCAGGATGATTAGGGGACCGGAGACTAAAACATATGAAGAACGCTTACAGGAACTGGGCAGTGTTGGAGTATTCACAACTTCTGGAGACAATGTCATGCCCCTGGTGGAGACTGACTCTGAGGGAGAGGAGGAACAGCCGACAGGGAGTGGAAGTGTGGCTCTGGAGGTTGTGGAGGAGGCTGGGGAAGGGCAGAGGCCGGCTGGCAGTCAGAGGAGGACCCAGGCCCATCCCCTTTCTGTCCTAGGGCATGCAGGGAAGAAAGGATAAGGGAGAGACATGGTCTACTGGGGAGGAGAGGGCCTTGACCCTCTTCATGGGCTGCAGCTGTGACAACTCGATAAAAGGACAGACATGTGTACGGGCGAGTGCTGGAAACAAAGCATGGAAATATCTCTAGTTTATTGTTCCTCTCTGAGTTTGGCATTCTGATATCTGAGTGTGTGTTCTGATATCTATGGACGTCTTCAAGCCCTTATCTTGTCTGGTTTGTGTTGTTTTTTACTCTTTATAATTTAAACGGCATTTCCTTCTTCTTGTAACTGCTTGTGTGGGAGTTTTTTGTCTCCAGTCAAGGATATTTGGAGCTTGGAAGCAAAGTGAAGGAATAAAAGGGGCTTCACCTGTTTTTGTGACTGTGTTTATTTTGTATCCCACCATAAGTTATCACAGAAAAGTTGTTCCACTGATTAATTGTTCTCACTGTCAGGAACTAGAAGACTAGAAGATTTCCAAGGTCCCTTCCAACTCAATTAAAGCTTGACTCCCTCTTCTTTGTGGCAGACCCTGAGATATTGGAACACTGCTATCATGTCACCCTCTGGTCCTTCTTTTCATTAAACTAGACATACCCAGTTCCTGCAACCGTTCTTCATATGCTTTAGCCTCCAGTCCCCTAATCGTCCTTCTTGCTCTTCTCTGGACTCTTTCTAGAGTCTAGAAACTTGTTGGCTGGACAAGTATTTTTCAACGTTGGCTACTTTAAGATGTGATTGGGCTTCGACTCCCAGAATTCTGGGAGTTGAAATCCACATATTTTAAAGTTGCCAAGTTTGAGAAACTGTAGTGTCACAACTCCAATGAAGAACGAACTGGAGCCGAGACAGCTGAGATGCGATATGACCATAGTCTTTTACTTACCTTACATTGACTGTGTTACCACGTTGGCGTTATGATGAAAATTCCTCAAATGACTGACATAGACTTCCTGACAAGGAGTGGTGCAATAATGATGATTCATGGCTGGATGTCAAGAAGGTGGTGGTGTAATAATGGTGCGGGGCAAATGGGGGATGGGGTGAATTGTCACTGGGGTGCATGGAATCATCGAGCAGAGGAAACGTGCAGTTACCATGTTTTTTTAATTTAAGGATGTCGGATGTTAGACAGTGAAGGCGGCCGGAAGGTGGTTATAGTAATTATGTTATTATCCAAGGTATAACTTGTATAAATACAGCTCTGGGTTGCAACGAAAACCAGAGCTGACTTTAGACATAATTTGATCGTTGTTACCTGTTGTTGTGGTGTGGGAGATGAATAAAAACTTCACTGAAGCTACACGAGTGAGTTGGTATCTTAGCGTTCACCCCCTCAATATCAGACGAACAGCTGACACGTCGTCCAAGAAGTCCACAGTCTGGATTTTAGTTGGCAATCGTCTTTTTTTCCCAGCCCTTATTTTTTTTTCCACTCTTCCTTTTTTTTTTTTTTTTTACAGCTCCACAATCTCCAAGTCAGGGCACAGAAGAGAGTGGCTCTCCCAGTCCATCTCCAAATCCCAGTTTCGGGGAGCTCTCTGTGTCTGATGTCACCAGCAATTCTGCCCGGCTCTCTTGGAACATCCCTGCGGAGACCTTTGACTCCTTCCAGATCCAATACAAAGATGCGGAAAACAAACCACAAATGGTTCCTGTGGACAAGGGAACCAACACCATTGTGATCTATCATCTAGTACCTTCCCATAGGTACAAGTTCAATCTGTATGGCATCTCTGGACGCAGGCGCTTTGGACCAATCACTGCCAGTACCATCACAAGTGAGTAGCAGGTTTAAACCAGAGGTGGGGAATGATGACTGTTGAGGCAATTCCCCGTTAGGAGAATGAGCGCATACAGGGAGACGTATTTGAGAGAAGTGTTTGTATTATTCACTTCAAACACACACAGATACACTGTACAGTAAATGTAGGTTTTTACTTCCAGAAAGGTTTAAGCAAAGTCCAAAATAAGCAATCCAAAGTCATTCACAAGTTAAATCAGTCAGTTTTCATCCAGGGATAATCCAATAACAAATTCCTGTGTCAAAAACAGTTCAGTATCAGACTTACATCAAATCCAGTAATATCAGTCAATTAGAAGAAATGGAGCAACGGCAATATTTTCCAACAGAAGGAAACAGAGATACACTCACACTCTCTTCTGAGACTCAGACTAAACAACCAGGTTTCTGGCTCCATCTTATGGCTGTTTGAGAAACCACACCCAATTGCATGCTCTTGCATTCCCTTAAAGATACAGTTTTAAAATGTTTATCCTGGTTTATATATTTCTAACCCAAATACCTGTTAGGTGACTTATATTCCTAATAATGGCCGCTTTATAAGAGCCTCGGTGGTGCAGTGGTTAGAGTGCTGTACTGCAGGGCCCTTCTGCTGATTATTGGCTGCCTGCAATTTGGCAGTTCAAATCCCACCAGGCTCAAGGTTGACTCAGCCTTCCATCCTTCCAAGCAGAGGTGTGGTATTCAGCAGGTTCTGGCCAGTTCTGGAGAACCGGTAGCAGAAATTTTGAGTAGTTTGGAGAACCGGCAAATACCCACATCTCACTGAAGATTTTATAGTCTCCTGCCAAGCCCAGCAAGCCACACCCACAGAACCAGTAGTAAAAAAAAAAATTGAATCCCACCACGGCTTCCAAGGTGGGTAAAATGAGGATCCAGATTGTTGAGGCCAATATGCTGACTCTGTTAAAAGGGCTTAGAGAGGGCTGCAAAGCACTATAAAGTGGTATATAAGTCTAAGTGCTATTTCTATTGCTATAATTTGTGGCCTTCAACTCCCAGAATTCCTGAGCCCGTATGACTCAGGAATTCTGGGAGTTGAAGTCCACCAGCCATAAAACAATAGGATCCCTGGTTTAAACAATAGGATTCTTCCCTTTGCATTTTTTCTTCCCTGTTTTTCCTCTGCATAGGATCATTCTCTTCCAAGTAGCCCTTTCTTAGAGCTTTGATTTCTCAGCTTATTTATGCATTTGTTAGATTTGTGTGTTGGCCAGCTTGCCTATTGTGATGTCATTCTTGTCTCAATTAAACAATAAATCAGAATATATTAAAATAAATTTAAAAGGGTCAAGCTATTTTCCCAAGCACCAAGAAACAATAGATGGAAACTAACCAGGAGAAAACTAACCTAGAACTAAGGAGAAATTTTCAGTGAGAATAATTAATCAGTGGACCAACTTGCCTTCGGAAGTTGTGAATGCCCCAACACTGGAAGTTTTTAAGAAGAGATTGGGCAACCATTTGTCCGAAATGGTATAGGGTCTCCTGAGCAGTGGGGTAGCAGGTTTCCTGAGCAGGGGGTTAGACTAGAAGACCTCCAAGGTCCCTTCCCACGCTGTTATTCTGTTCTATTAAGTTGCTTCATCACCAGAGGCTTTCAAAAAGAGATTGGACAATCATACTTGAGCAGGGGGTTGGACTAAAAAGCCTCCAAAGGTTCCTTCCAACTCTGTTACAGTGGAACCCTGGGTCACGACCATAATCTGTTCCAGGACTTCAGTCACAACCCGATTTGGTCATGACCGGAAACAAGACTGACTGCGTATTTACGGATAAAAAAATTGGGGCAGAAGGGGAAATCGCCGGGCTGTATTTCATCGCCACCCAAGGATCTGTTTGCAACAATTTTCCAAAAATTTTTGTTGTCACCCGATTTAGTCGTTAACCAAAGCTTTCGTGACCCGAGGTTCCACTGTATTCTATTTTCTATCTCGTCTGTCTGTTTGTCTGTCTGTCTATCCATCTATCTGTCATGCCCCTGATGGAGACTGACTCTGAGGGAGAGGAGGAACAGCCGACAGGGAGTGGAAGTGTGGCTCCGGAGGTTGTGGAGGAGGCTGGGGAAGGGCAGAGGCTGGCTGGGCAGGCAGAGGCCCATCCTTATCCATCCTAGGGCATGCAGGGAGGAGAGGATAAGGGAGAGACGCACTCTACTGGGGAAGAGAGGGCCTTGATCCTCTTCATGGGCTGCGGCTGTGACAACTGAATAAGAGGACGGACATGTGTATGGGTGAACGCTGGAAACAAAGCGTGGAAATCTCTCTAGTTTATGGTTCCTCTCTGAGTTTGGCGTCCTTCCCAGTGTTTGTTCTGTTATCTGTGGATGTCCTCCAGCCCTTATCTTGCCTGGTTTGTGTTGTTTTTTCCGTCCTTCTTGTAACTGCTTGTGTGGGAGTTTTTTGTCTTCCGTCAAGGATATTTGGAGCTTGGAAGCAAAGTGAAGGAATAAAAGGGGCTTCACTGGGTTTTTGTGACTGTGTTTATTTTGTATCCCACCCTGGGTCATCACTCAGATAGATAAAGTGATGACCCAGGGTGGGATACAAAATATCTATCTATCTATCTATCTATCTATCTATCTATCTATCTATCTAACTAACTAACTAACTAACTAACTAACTAACTAACTAACTAACTATCATCTATCTATCTATCTATCTATCTATCATCTATCTTCCATCTATCTATCTATCTATCTATCTATCTATCTATCTATCATCTATCTATCTATCATCTATCTATCTATCTATCATCTATCATCTATCTATCTATCTATCATCTATCTATCTATCTATCTATCTATCTATCTATATCAATCATCTATCTATCATCTATCTATCTATCATCTATCATCTATCTATCATCTATCATCTATCTATCTATCTACCTATCATCTATCAATCATCTATCTATCTATCTATCTATCTATCTATCTATCTATCTATCTATCTATCTATCTATCATCTATATCTATCTATCTATCTATCTATCTATCTATCTATCTATCTATCATCTATCTGTCTGTCTATCTATCTATCTATCATCTATCATCCATCTATCTATCATGTATCTCTCATCTATCTATCTATCTATCTATCTATCTATCTATCTATCTATCTATCTATC